GAGCAGAAGATTTGATCGCTGGGACAACACTTTTATTCGCCCCACGTTTCAACAGCCATTGCGGATTCTTTATCAGAGACATCAGCAGAAAGCAGTAACAGAAACGGGCAATACTTGCACGGGAAGTTGCAGCATTTATAGTATACGATTACGACTGCGCACTTACGACAACGACAACTAACGCTAATTGCCTTCTTGCGTGTTGATAGTTAAACAGCATGCGGGCTCTGACCTGCCGAAATTTCACCACACGTGGTGGACTCGAGCGTGATGATTGCTCGGCTATCTGGTCCTCCAATGTTGACGTAGGATGATGCAGTGGCCTGTGCGTTCCCCAAGTGGCGACTTGCTTTGGCCGAATTCAGCCTCGGTACCAAATATGGATTGGGCATGTCGTTGAACTTCTTTATGGACTGGGGGCCCTTGAACTATGACCCAAGTAAATCGTGGTTCGCACGATTATCACCTGTTGCGAGAATTTCGGCCTCATCAAATTTGAATGTGTGGCCAGGTCTCATCGAATGAGCCGCCACTTGAGAATTGACATAATTTCACCGCATTGCTGCTGCGTGCCGGGCAATTCGCGTCTTGAGAAGGCTGTCAGTTTCTCCGACCTAGTTGCTGTGGCCGCAACTGCACCAGAATAAAGGTGTTGTCCCAGTGTCACGAGAGGTGAAATCATGTGAGCTGCAAGTTGCTTCAGTTATGGTTTATGGGCTCCAAATGCAATGACCTCCCTAACCCATATTTAATGCTGGAACTTAGTCCGCCTTAAGTGATTAACAACTTGGGGGCGCACAAGCGAACATATTCTCCAACGCCAGGCGGTCGACTAATCGGCACGTTAACATCCGACAGCAGGTAAGGACCGGCGTTCCGGTCACCATGTTATTAGCACACCAGAGGACAACCAGCCCCGATTAAGGGAAGCATAGCGGCTGCATCCTATAAATACTACAAAGCCCTGTGTGTACGAAATACCCCTATATACCCGGATGATGGGTTCGAGCTGGAATCCGTAACGTCAGGCGGCAAGATTAATATTAGAGGCCCCAAAAATCCCGTCGACTTATGATAAAATGTTCGGTAGCCCGAGTTAAAAATGTTTCGTTAAATTCCACCAACAGGACGAATTTCCAGTTTAGTTAAATTCCGCCTACATAAGGTCGAATTTCCCTCGATTAGCATTCGTATCCTGCGCAACAGAATTTTATATTCATCGAATTTTATTCTATTTTAGCATATTAAAACAAACGTAATCTTATTTAATTTAATACTTTTGATCACTTCCGCCACAATTACATATTACTTTACGCTAACTGGCCAAGAATTAAATGTTTGACCGCAAAATGCGTCAAGCAGTTGGGCGGGGGCGATAGATATCTAGAGGGGCCCTACAATTTTGCCCGCCAGGCAAATAAAGTCCTTGTCCCAGTGTCGTGCTAACAGTACTCTGATCCTCGTTGACGAACCTTAACCCCCTGCTCTCTGACGAAATTTCGCCCCTGCCCCCTAACGAACGTTCAGAAACTGTCTATATTACTCTGACCATGCTCTATCTCTTTCCAGTTCTAATAAGAAAATTCTAGGGTGCTAGTTAATTCTGACCCCTCGTCTATTCGGCTCATACTTGCTGAATCGCGCGGTTCTATCTACTCTAATAACGACAATTTATTCATCTCACAACTCAAAATAGATCGATTCCTCAAACCAGAAGGATTTGATGAGGATCCGAATGCTCTGGACGCTTCCAAACAATGAAATCGTTGGTTTTGCACGTTCGAAAACCTGATGGCCACGATCGAAAACTTGAAGCCAAAGCTGAATTAAGTGTTCTGACTTATTATGTCTCTCCGACCGTTTGGGAACGCATCAGTGAATGTACCACTTACGAAGATGCTAGTACAGTGTTAAAAGACCTATATTCAAAACCTGAAGACGAAATCTTCGCTCACCATCCTCCAGCGACTTGCAGTCAAGAGGATGGACAAACCCTAGATTAATGCGCGTCTACTCCTTATTTATGTCCTGGGACTCGCAATTTCTCTCGTGTCTAAAATACTACTTAAGCAGAATTGTAATATCTAGTTCCCAGGTATTTCGGTCATGTTGGGATGCCGTCTGCAAACTTTTTTATTTTCGTTTAATTATTTGAGAATTAAGAAGGTATTTAAAAAACTAGAGAGGCCCCCTTTTCAAGTACAGTATTTGCGAGTGACGCAATTTCCTATTGATGAGCAGAAGGGGAAACAGTGCTGTGCATGTTTCCTATAAAATATAGATTTTAATTTCTAAGGGTGTCGAAATCACTGCGAAAAAAGTGCATACTACACTATTAAACTTTTCTTAATGTGATTTTTCCTGGCGATCGGGAGGGAACTCATTCAAAAGTTCTGCGTTCTGACGCGACCGGAAAGCCTGGGTATTACGATGCAGGATAATTTATCTACTTCGGCTGTTGGGAGGACCCAACATTCGTGCCGTCCTCGAGGCAGGATAACAAAGAGAGAACACGCGAGACCGCCGCCGGCCAGGTTCTGAGGTCACGCATGACAAGGGCCATGAAAAGAGGCATGCACATGCGCGCGTCACCGAGGGCGCGACCGGTCACCTAAGGACACGATGGCTGAGATATGACGGCTGCTTGTAGAGGTCACTCGTGGAGAGCCAATGGGGAAAAATTACTACTGGCCCTTAAATATGCTGCCACTGCTGAAGGCGGCATTCTTTTGCTGGAGACGCGCTACCGACGACCCGAGATTCTGCTGCTGGAGACACGGAACACCGTTGGCCGAGACGACGGAAGAACACACGCCGCTGACGGACACAGAAGACCAAAAGAAGAAGCGATCACTGGAACAAGAGGTGTATTGTCCTGACGTTTCGGAAACGT